GTTTATGCATTCGAAAATTATATTCATTAAATAGGAAGAAAATGAAGATTGGTCATTTAAATATTAGATCTGTCTTTACAGGCTTTAATGATTTTAAACATTTATTTGAACAAAGTGATTTTGATATTATGTTTCTTACTGAAACATGGCTGACAAACGATGTAATTTCTGATGTAATTCATATTCCAGGTTATAATTTCTTTCGGTTAGATCGATTAGGAAGGGGAGGGGGTGTCGGTGCATATGTTAAGTCAAATATTCAATGCCACATAATAAAATTAAATTTTGAATTAAGTAGTGAACTGGAGTTTTTGTTTTTAAAACTTAATATAAAATCTTTAAATTTTGCAATAGGTGCCTTATATAGACCGCGCGACAGAAATGTTAATGCTTTTGTAAGTGATTGTGACAATATTTTTTCTTTCTTGTGTCCCTTATTTAATGAAATTATCTGTGTGGGCGATTTTAACTCAAATTTTTTTGACCTAAATAATCCTGTAAACTCTTGTTTAGAGTCATACAATCTAAAACAAATTATTACTAAGCCAACTAGAATAACACTACATACACGTAAACTTATTGATCCTATTTTCGTTTCTTGTACAGAATTAGTATCTTCTTGTGGAACGTTACCAACTAGCCATATATCTGACCATTCTTTAACTTATTGTGAATTAAACGTTGTAAAACCAAAAATCAAGCCTAAATTACTTAACATAAGATCCTTTAGAAACTTTAATCCAAATGAATTTATTGAAGATTTAGAAAAAATGCCATGGCACAAGTTTTTAAGGGAAGATGATATTGACTTGTTTAATAAATTTATCTTATCGGTGTTCGATGTTCATGCCCCTAGAAGAACTGTTAAAGTAAGTAAGCCTAAAGCTCCTTGGCTGACCACAAATTTGAAATGTATTATGAAACAAAGGGATAAAGCTCTTCAAAAATTTAAACAATCCCGCTCAGCAGCACACTGGGAAGATTATAAACAGCTTCGTAATTTTGCTTTAAGTTGTATTCGTAGGGAGAAAAAGGCGTATTTAGATATGTTAGCTAAAGATTACAAAAATCCAAAAAAGCTCTGGTCTACTTTAACCGATTTTAATGTAAAAATTGCAAAATCATGTGATTTACCTAATAATTTAGCTGATCCCGAAAAAATTAATAATTACTTTTGTAAATTCTTACAGTGTGTATCTGGGGATTGTCTAAACCAAATTGACTTCTATAACAACAATATTAATGATTTAAATAATTTTTTTACATTAAAACTTGCCACATTAGAAGAGGTAAGTAATATTATTAAGGAATTGCGGTCTAATGCTTACGGCGTTGATAATGTATCGGCTTCAATGCTTAAACTTTGTACGCCATTTATTATCAAATACATTACCCACATTATTAACTGTTGCATAGAAAAAAGTTATTTTCCATATTTGTGGCGGACTGCCATTGGCAGGCCACTACCTAAAAAATTTAATCCACAAACTTTTTTTGATCTTAGAATCATAAGTATCTTACCAACTATATCCAAGGTATTTGAAAAAGTATTATACAAACAAATATACGAGTATGCTTGTAAGGCAGATATACTTCCTAATACCCAATGCGGTTTTAGGAAAGGCTATTCCACATCCACAGCACTAACTACTGTAACGAGTGATATAATTGATGCTTACGATAAAGGAGACATTACTGTACTTACACTTTTAGATTTTTCTAAAGCGTTTGACACCATCGATCACAGGTTGATGGTATCAAAATTGAAATATTATGGTTTTCATTATGCAGCAGTTGCGTTGATAAAATCATATTTAGGCAACAGGTCTGAACGTGTATGTTACAATAATACATTTTCGAATTCTATGAATATTTTATCTGGTGTTCCCCAAGGCAGTGTCCTGGGACCGCTCCTTTTCTTTATCTATACTTCTTGCATTATCAAATCCATAAAAAATTGTAAAGTCCAAGCCTACGCTGACGATCCACAATTATATTACAGTTTTAAAAACGATCATTCATTAACTGCTAATCAACTTATTAATGAAGATCTTAAACTTATTTATGAACTTTCTTTTCAACATAATTTAAAACTAAATGCATCGAAATCTTGTGTTCTGTTTTTTGGTTCAAAAAATAAAAAGGAACTTGTTAAAAATCAATTTAAAATTAATATTAATAACACCAAGTTGCCAATTGTTGAATCAGCTAGAAATCTTGGTATATATTTAGATACAGATTTAAGATTTAGAGAACATGGAGGTAAAATTACCCGTTCAGCTTATCTTTCTTTAAAATTACTTTACTCCAGCAGGCATATTCTTAATCATAATCTACGTATAAAACTCAGTGAAACTCTCGTCTTGTAAGCTATTGCGATTTTATCTATGGACCCTGTCTAGACTTGAACACTCAGTATAGAATTCAAAAAATTCAAAATTCGTGCACAAAATTAATATTTATTCTTCGTAAATATGATCATGTTACTCTTAAAATACGAGAATTAAATTGGCTTAATATGAAGGAACGCAGGACATTCCATTTAGGTAACTATTTTCATAAATTAATAAAATGCATTGACAGCTCTTCCCCACTAATTAAAAAGTTTATAACTCGTAAAACAATTCATGATCGAAACCTCCGCGACGTCACAACTTACACAATACCCCGTCATCGAACAGCCTTATTTAAAAGAAGTTTTGTATATAATTCTATTAAATTGTACAACTCTCTTCGTTTAGAATTAAAAAAATTAAACATAAATTTATTCAAAAAATACTTTAAAAAATATTACGTTCAAAATTTTGTTTGAGCTTAGATTTAATTGACCTTTTTAGTTTTTTACTTTTGATTACATTTTTGAATACTATTTTTTAGCTTTATATAGAAAAAATAAATAAAAAAAAAAACAAAAATTAATTATTGGAATTTTTGCTCCATTGCAAATATATTTTTTTTGTTTGTTTTTATTTGTTTTTGTTTTTATACATTGGTGTTTTAGTGGTTAACTAGAAGTAGCTATTACAGCTAGACTTCGCCACTATTGCATCACTATTCTTTTTTTTATATTCCCTTGTAAAAAAAAACTTTGTAAAAATATATACATTATTTTCCCTTAATAAAGACGATTTATTATTATTATATTATTATTAATTAAGATAACTGTTAAAAAGTGCGCCCCTTTAACACCAAACACTCCTTAGGAGTACCTTCAAACTAAATAGTTCTAAAATTACTTATTAATTAACCCTTACAGGATAGCAATAAAGCATAGTTTATTTTTAAATAAACTAGTTTTCTTAAACAGATTTAAAGGAATCTATAAAACCAAGTAATAAGATCAGTTTATCCCGCAGTTCTATTGGCAAAAAAAATAACTGTAATAAAACATTTATTAATTTTTATACTTTTACAAAATTCTAATAAAACATAAATAAAACTTTTCTCCTAAAAGTGTTACTTAGGATAGTAATATATATTATATTGTTTTACACCATCAGAAAGTAGAGATTTTAACGAAGAAAAAGCACACCGACTTTTTTAAAAAAGCAAATATTTTGAGGGGAGAATTTTCAAATCAAAATTATCGTGCTTCTTCAATATTATGTCAAAATATTAAGAAATAAATATTTTAAATCAAAAAAAATTACAGTGTGTTTGGGACATAAAAAGGTAAGTTTTCACCTAATTTCGTGGAAAAAAAAAGATTTTTTTGTAAATGATAAAAATAAAAAACCAATGTTTCACATAAATTTGAAGGTTATGTGAAAAAAATGTTAATACAAAAGTTTTTGATCTTTTTATTACCTACAACTTTGCTATTTAACTATTTTCCATAAGACTTATAGTTTTGCTGGAAATCGAGATAAACCGTTTTTTTACTCTTAAAAACTCACCTCCTTTCACTTTCCGAGATCATATCGTAAGTATTATTCTTTTCATTTTTGTTATATTTTCTTTCGTTCCATCTTACTATTATTTTTTTTACTTTTTTACTTTTTCAAAGGCTTCAGACCTGGTATATAATGATTATTTCATTTTGTTTTAATCAATTAACAAATTCCTTAGGTTTCTCTTTGTTAAATGTCTAGATTAGATCGAAAAACTGCCAAAACATAAATAATAATTTGTATATTTATTTCACTACAGCATACAGATGTTGGAAAATATATGTAATGAGGTTTTTAATTAAAATTAAACCAACGTTTGTGGGATGCACTTATTAAAACTATTACAAATGAATAATATCGGCACAAAGTTCGTCAGGTTATAATATAGTAACAGAGTCAAAAAAATTAAAAATAAAATGATAGGGATTTATTAAAAAAAAAATATGAACAATATCATTCCAAAAAATATAGGTATAAGGCAGTTTTTTCAATATTATCTAGGGATTTATAAAATACAAATCTTGTTTCATTCGAAAATTGTTTATTAATTAAAACAAAATAAAATAATCATTAACCATAATAATGTCAGTATTTAATTACTTATAAGTATGTTTGCAAAAATAAAATTCAATGCATTAAATTCTTACTTGCATTTTTCTAATACCAAATATTTTATTTAAATTTTGTTTTCAAGAATGACATATCAAAAAATTACGAAAATGGAGCGATTTTAATTATCAAATGCATTATATTTAGGTCAGTTTATGGAACTACAAAGAAATGTTTAATTCAAAAGTTGTTTTTTCTGATCCAAAAATCAACATGTTAATAAATTAATAAAATCGTTCGAAACCCAGGATAACATGTCCTTTTTTAAAATTTACTGTTAGAAATATGTATAAATTTAAATTTATTTAAATCGATATTACAAATCGATAAAAAAACTAATTTATCACAAAGAAGATAGAGTGACATAATAACAAATAACATAAAGGTACATCGTATTAATAAATAAGTAAAGGAATAATTTAATTATATTGTAGTTAACTTTAAAAATTTAATAACTTGTATAAAATTTGTAAGCATGTTTTGAATTTAAATATAACTTACCGCTGCAATAACACCAGCACATAATAATAAAACGGTTAAGGAGTTCATGTTGATTTGAAAGTTATTTGACAATTGTCGTATGTCGTTAATTGTTTTTATACTAAAAATTATTTAGGTTTACTTATCATTTTATTTTTTGTTGTTCAAACTGGAGGACGTTAAAGGAGAGTATGTTAAAGGTTAATAGTTAAGAAATAGAAAAACATTTAAATAGTTTATGAATATTTCCATTATTATTAAAAATATATTGAACAAAAAAAAGATGGTATGAAATAGAATACTTTTATTTAACTATGTTATATTAGTATTACATAAATTTATAGCTGGTCAAAAAAAAAAACAGAATAAACAATCATAAGATTGAAAATTACAAGCAACAATAAAATCATCTAACATACATATATAATCAAAAACAATAAAATAAAATACAGAAACTCTCAAAACCTAATGGTATTAAAATTAAAGGTGTCTTAATTAAAATGTATTACTACATTTAAAATAGTACATTATATACCTAGGGTGAGAAGTGAGCTATTATTTACCGAACACTTTTATATCCTGAGGCGCGTAGCGCCGAGGGATATAATGTGCGAGGTAAATAATAGCTTTCTCAGCCGAGGTATATATAGAATTTTTTTTTACTACTAACATTAATATATTAGCAATTTTAATTTTGACATAAGTAATTTCCTAACAATTTGTTAAATATTTCGAAATATCAAGCAAAGTGGAGCGTGTTTCTAATCAGACTGGCTTTATTTGTGTAAAAATTTGGCATGTGTCAAATTTTGAAATGATTCTAGGAAATATCCTATTGCATTTTTGATATTTTAGTGACATGGATTTATTGGTATTAATTAATAATTTTTGAAGCCTATTACCGGTGTTGAATTTCCTAGTTAATATATTGATATAGAAACCCCCTGTACATCAATTTTCTTAATAAATTTGCCCAGACTCTTAAAAGGGGGTGGTTCGGCTCTAAAATTTTACAATATAAAATTAAAAACCAAATTATAATAAACTTAAAAAAAAATTTGAATGTTTCTTCTTTTCCTATTTCTTTTGCTTCTTCTGCTTCTCCTGTTTTTCCTAATTCTCCTGCTCCTCCTCTGTACTCCGACCTCCTACGTCTGCTATCTGATACACTTTCCTCTTAAATTGAAATAAAACTTTTCATTACCTTTCTTTTATGTTTAACTCCTTGTCTCCTCTGCTCACTGTCTACTTTTTTTTGAACTGCTGTTTACCTCTGTCTACCTCGATTCCTCTCACTGCTCTATCTGTTCTCTAAACTTTGCAATAAAATCTCTTTTGACCTTTTTATATATTCTCGTTTATTTTTTTTTTTTTTTCAAAACAAATTCAAAATATCATATCTCCCTAAAAGCTTTTTGACAATCTCTAATTTCCCTGACAATTTAATTTCAAATCAACAAAAACCCCGACATTTTTATTTTTAACTGAAATTTTAATTTCAAGACACTTCACCACCCCAGTATCGTTTAATATAGATAATAAATTTGACGACGTCAGGAATTTCTATATCAATATATTTTTACTATTAACACTGATATATATTATCATATTTGATTTGATTAGATTTTAATAAACCCAGCTTTAGTTATTTCCTACTTATTTTTCAAATATTTCAAAATATCAAGTAGTCTGGGAGTTTAGTTGTCAAATTAACAAAATGAAACTAATGAAATTTAGTTTCATTATTTACCTAGGTATTTTTTTTATTATCATTATTTACCTAGGGTGAGAAATATTACTTCTCATTAGAGGAATGGAGCAAATAATGGTGATTTCTCATGTTAGTAGTAAAAAAAATTTTTTAGAAGATCTTGAAGGAGAAGACCCAAGGAGAATGTATCGTCAACAGGGAAATAAATGGAAACGAACATAATTTAAAAATTCATAAATATAATAAAAACTGTGGTTTTCAAAGTAAATTTCCAATAATTTTTTAAAGTAAAATAAGTTTCTTGACTTTAAATTACTAGGAAGTGCATTATATAGACTAATGTGGATTTACTAAGTTACTTACACTTAAATGTATTTAGAATAAATAATTAATGTAATTCTTGTGTAATATACCCACATCCCCATTCATAAAAGTGTATTTGTTGTGAAGTTCTCATCATCATCTATTGTATAGTCCAGGATACAGTGACGATTTTCGGTATTTATTTTCCCAGTCACCAAGCACGAATAGAGAATTGTAGGATTAGCAATTCTAAGCAAAATTCATATATATTTAGAGGGGGATCCGACGGGCTGAGGCCGAAAATGCGCCCTTTTTTTCCATTGATAAAAATAGTTTTAGTAGTAAGAGATGTACTGAAGTTAAGTAAAAAAATAGTCTGATTAATCTGTATTGATAATATATTTGGCAAGTTCATAAAATACACTTTCAAACGAGTTATGTACACAATTATTTCTACGACCACAATTATTTAAAGAATGTTCCAAGTGTTTTGTATATTAAAGTATACGCATATGACACATAAATAAAATCTTATATCACAATGTTTCACCTAACCAGTTGGTTTATTTATAGAAATTAAACATAATAATTGAAGATATTACAGAAGAAAATAGGGAAATAAATTACATTTCCTTTTACACTTTTGTATAATAATTGTTTTATTTAGAATTCACGAATCACTTAATTATAATTATTGTTAGTTTCGTTGTCAAATCATTTATACTAGAGGTGTGAGGAAAATACAGTGAACTGTGAAACGCCAATATGGTTGGATGCGCGTGGTAGAAATGGTCTTATAATACTGCTAAAAACATAGATAAATTTTCATGGACACACTGTGTACTTTTGAAATTTGCGATACTCCGACGCATATGCATTATTGATGTAATCTCATGATTTTACAGTAATAGTTTTTGCAATTTTAGTGTGATTTTTAGGTTATTATGGTTATTCATTTTATTTGGTTCCGATCTTTTGCGCTTTTAGAGTATTTGTCTTTTATATAGTTTTTAATTTGAATTTTAATATTGTGGTCTATTTATATTTGATTGCTGCTTTTCGACTAGTGCTTTATTCTTTTTGTGTTAAAATAAGCTTTATAACCATTAAGTACATGCTAGTTGATATCTACCTAATCGTCATCGGGTGCTTGCAACAATGGGAAAAAGTGTATGGTTTTTTTGGTGTAAAGTTAGACACCTTCATTTTTCAGGTAAGTTATTTGTAGTTATTTTTTACTTAAAAGGATAGCAATACATCCTGGTTTGGGGTGAACTTTTGGGTTTTAGCTATCTGAGCCAAATTGTCGGCTAAGTGTCCTCTTTTAGGGCACCCAGAACCGAAAACTATATAGGTATATAATGTTTTTTTTTAAATTATTTTTTAATATGTATGCAGCTTGGATAAGGGCTTTAGGAAGAGATCCTAAGACTGAACACTGACTGCTATATATGCCGTTTTTATAGCACATTTCATAGTAAGTGGTTTCATTCTAGCAGCAATGAGGAAACGTTTAAAAAACATGCTGTACCAGCTATTACTTTAAGACCTCGTCTCTTTAAGTTATTATTACTTCATTCTAATGCATATATTAAAATGGTTTTTAACTTATGTCCTTATGATTAAAATATGTAGGTATTTTAGTTATGTTATAATAGAAATATATGATACTTTGTATTGACTGACCTACTGGCCACTGGTCATTCCACTTTTACTCCCTTTTTTTCATAAATTATCAAATTATTTAAAAACAAATATATACCTAGCTATTTTCTGTAAATTACATTAAAATTTTAGTGTTAATACTTTACTAATAAAACTTCAGTTAATTTATCTTATATATATACACAACGGAAGATTTAATTGGATTTTCTCCTTGTTGAGTTTCAAAAATAGTAATTTAACATGATTTAAAAACAAATACATGAAATGGGCAAAATAGGCCTTCAAAGGCACTTTGTAAACAATCTCACTTGTATCGATGTGACGTAATGCGCGAATTCAATCTGGCTTACTTTTGTTAATAGATTGGCGTTCCATTTTAAATATACAGTTCACCGGGAATAGATTATTTAAATATACACGGACCGGGAAAACAAGTACGAAAAAAATTCACTGGCTCCTGGACTAGTACCGTATCGAAGGAATTTTTATAAATGAAACAATATACGACCCTCCACAATTGCGGTCTACTCTACTTCCGCTGTTGTCAGACGTTATTTTTTTTTTGGACAATTTAAAGACCTAAACAGTAATTCAAGCAAACGCAATAACATTACTACAGTTAAAAACATCGCAAACTTGGCATCAATATTTTAATTTTATCCAAATAGGTATTGCATTTCTGTAGAGGATCATCCGCGTTGACTTCAGAAATTGTGTAATCTGTATTGGTTATATATATCTATAGTTAAAAGCACGTAAACTTGGCATCAATGTTCAATCCGATTATTGGGTTTCTACCGCGGACACCACCGTTCATTCTTCAAAAATTTTATAAATAATTCTATCTGTCTTGGTTATATATCTATGAATATACCTTATATTATTATTATAATGTCATATGAGTTTTTTGTGTTTCTAATAACCTACATCTAGGTAGTCGAATTAGGTTAGCATAAGAGTGAATACTGGACTGAGTAAGAAATAAGAAATTTCAATAAGATTGATATACATATACAGAAACGGAAGAGTCATAATTTTATGTGTAACAAATAAGTCTACAAGAGTCCCTATACCCGACATTTGATAAAATTCTGATTGCTTTCTTTTGTTGAACGAAAATAGCTTGAGACTCAACCGAGTTTCCCCATGACGGGATTCCATATGATATATGAGAATAACAAAGAGAAAAGTAAGCTATTTTTGAAGTATGATAACTAGTTACTTGCTTTTTCTTCCAGTTCATTGGTTAAACTAGAGTTCTGAGTAGCTATCTCTTAAATAGACTAACTTTGTATCATCAGCAAATAATATACTATCATTAGGTTTCATGAAATTGCATGAATCATTTATGTATATGACGAAATGTAACGGTCCCAGAACTGATCCTTGTGGAACTTCTGTATTTACAGGGTTTAAATTTGACTGGCTATTATTATAAAATAAAAACCGATTGGTAAGATATGATTAAAAAAGATGCAACA